ACTGCCACAGCTTCCTAATTTCTTCGCCAAATAATTGAGCGTCAGAGTCGTATATGATGCCATGTATCGTATAACAAACGCTTATTAACCAACTTTTTAATTTAATTTTTGTGTATTGACTCAGGAAATGAGTCTAGCAGGTCAGCAATGCAAACAGAAAAAAGTTATGAACACGTGTAGCGTGGAATATCTCCTATAAATTTTTTCTATTTCTTTCGATTCTCAAATGTTGCCACGAGAAAAACAACGTTCGTTACAAATTTGGAACGCTGATCACTTCGTATTTCACGCGTTTACTTTATTTATGTTTAACGAACGAGTTTGCCTGACAAGAAGGTTGAGTGATTCCTCTAGTCCATTTATTTGTCGGCTGGATGTATTTGAAGCCTTGAGTACTGTCCAAAAAATTCCTAACGTAACGGTAAAGAATTCAGAAAAAAAAGCTGAAATAGAGTGTTGTTTTCTGGCCTTACGCGCAGTCACCGCCATTTTACCAAGCTTGAGAACTGCGCTGCGGCAAGTAATGTGGAGTCTCCGACTTAATTGGATATAGCATTTGTTCCTGCTACCATACATAGGGAGCTATTGCTCGGACCATGCATCTTGTTTTGGACGATACTCAAGCCAGTGCCTAAATGTTTCTTGCTTGCCTTATAAATACTATTTTTTGTTCAGACTGTTAAGATTTATATTTTGCACAAGTCGACCAGCTAATGTTAAAATTTAGTTTTTCTCAAGACGATAAACTACGAGTGATGAACTCTTCTTCCATTCCATGTAAGTCTTTGCCACTAACCGAGTGTCACATTTCACATGATAACATCGATAGTCTTACATTGATGTTATCAAGCAAACCGTCGTTAAAATTTCAAATTGAAAAATGGAAAAAAGTTTGCCTAAAATGAATAATAAATGGCTTTGAAACTAGTAAACTATCCGTCTTTAACTTACGAAAATTGAAACGTAAAACGAAAATTGAAACGTAAAGAGATGTAAGAACCACACATCGGCTGGCCCGAAATTATCTTTGCGTCCTTAACCTATACACCTGAATACTTGAATATACATTTTAACCTATATAACATAGGGTATATTAAACGAAATTGTAAACGATTACAGCTCCATTCTATTGTTTCAAATACTTAGTGTGCCGGCATGATGCTTTCTGCTTCGTTAAAACGTAAAAAAAAAAACAGAAAAGCTTCCATATACTGTGCGCAAGGTTGACACCAAACTACGATCCTGCGCTGTACTGTTACAAGCGTGGCACGCAAGCCTCAAATCTAAGAGCTCAATCAAGTTGATAATTTGTTGGTGGTCACTGCACAGCTGGACTTCGCGTGAGCCACCACATGAGGGGCGAGTGTAATAAAACACGACTTCTGCAGAAGCACTTCCTTGTTCAATCTCAATCTTGTGCACAATTAATCAGCTGAGAGAACACAAAATCTCAGAATAGATGAATAGGAAGCGAAATCTGTGAGACAAATGGTTTCACTTTGTCGCGGCGCTAGCGGCACCTCGGCGCCAGCTGTCGTCAAGCACAGTAGACGCTTTCGGACTTGCATAATAACTTTTTTGACTGGCAATTATCGTACTGACTACAAACCTACAGTAAATGTTAGGTAATTTTAAACTTTATGAGAGATATCATTGAATATAAATAAATTTGTACTCACGGTCAGAAAGTCCGGTGAATGACGTCATTCACGCATCCTTGGTCTTCCATTCAACGGTGTCTGAGACGAGGATCTCGAGTGCTTCTCGAGTGACTCACACAACAAAATCATGACGACGGAGGCGGTGTATAATATATATTATTCGTATATCATTCGGAGGTGGTGTATAATATATATTATTCGTATATCATTCGGAGGTGGTGTATAATATATATTATTCGTATATCATTCGGAGGTGGTGTATAATGTATATTATTCGTATATCATTCGGAGGTGGTGTATAATGTATATTATTCGTATATCATTCGCAGGTGGTGTATAATGTATATGTAGTTCTATAATAACTGCTTAGAGAGTACCCGATTCTCGCCAAATGTTGCCAATTATATTGGAAACATGTTAATTCAGCGTATTATTGTGTAGCGCAAGTTAATTTAGTGCGTGCATAATAGTGTAGTGCTCGCTAATTCAGTGTATTATAGAGTAGCGCAAGTTAATTCAGTGCAGAATAGCGTAGTGCACAATAATTCAGTGTATTAGAGCGTAGGGCAAGATATTTCAGTGTATTATAGAGTAGTGCAGGCAAATTCAGTGAATTATAGCTTAGTGTATGATAATTCAGTTATATGTGTGCACTTATACAAGTATTGATAGTAAATATATAAGTTCTTCGATGTGTACAATGTAATGACAAGCACAGTATTAGGTTCCATTTTTTTCAGTATATACATTTATTGCGTAGAGCACAAATGCTCCCAGTACGGCGCTATTTATCGGAGACGCTGTTTCGTGTGTTAAAAAATTATATTGGCCCGGAGCGAAAGCTCGTAATCTGACGCAGAAACTTAGTGAACGAACAATATTGTTAGGTAGTAAACTTGTTGCAGTGAGAAGTCGTGTGAAGAGCGACGAAGTGCTTAACGGGATAAAAAGTCATTTGATGTAATTTTATTGTTCTTCAACACATATAAAACTCTCAGTAGCATGATCTGCTTTGGTACTAAAAACGTAGCTAGTTTTCAAAAGAAAACACTAAAGTTTCAACTATCTCTTGAAGTTAAACACTATCTTTGTTGTCAGATATCAGGTGCGTCAACCTTTACTATGCAGTACAAGAAAATACAAGCCTATCAACACGGATTAAAGAAAAATAAACCACTATATTCGATTCACAACAGGATTTTTTGAGCGGATTTTTTTTCCTCAACCACCCATAGTTTGAGATTAAAGTGGCTTACATATTATATTGCACGTATCGTTGAGTTCTTCACGCATAAGTTGATTTCTTTACGATGAGAGAACCCTTACTCTTATTCCGTTCATACTGTATTTACGATTAGAGATATCTTAAGAACTCTTACACGCATTCAAGTGATATGTTTACTATATAAATATCGTATAAACTATAAATACTCATTCAGTTTAAAAGTTTACTATAGGACTATCATGAAAATTTTTGCACTTACTCAACTGGTGTGTTACCTTTAGAAATAATAAAGGAACTCTTAATATTATACTCATTCAGTTGACATGCTTAATGTTGAGGTATCATTTATGAACTTTAATAGATATTCAGTTGAAATGTTTAATATAGGAGTATATGGCCCGCCTCTCCCAGCAACTCTGTTTACGTCCCGCCTCTACCAGCAACTCCGTTTACGCCCCGCCTCTACCAGCAACTCTGTTTACGTCCCGCCTTTACCAGCAACTCTGTTTACGCCCCGCCTCTACCAGCAACTCTGTTTACGTCCCGCCTCTACCAGCAACTCTGTTTACGTCCCGCCTCTACCAGCAACTCTGGTTGATCTGAAGAACCGTATCACTGCTACGGTGCACTTAGTAACAGAAGATATGCTTTCTCGTGTGGGACGTGTTTTGTTACCGTTTAAATGTTTGCCGTGCAGCACAAGGGGACATATGGATCATTTATAAATATGTAACAATTTTTCTATTCTTTCTCTTCACTTTGGTGTATAAATTATTCATTTTTAATTTATACATGAATATGTATGAGTTGATTAAATTGGGTCCATCATTTAGATTTTAGAATAAACCTGTATATTAAATGGTACTCAGGTGCCGAGAAAAATTGCCAGACAATAAATGCTTCAATTATTGAACAGCTTAAATTAAAAGCAATTCTATAAAATTGCTGCAGCAAGGGTCGTGTAAAATATTTCGTTTTTTATTAGACTTACGACATCGTACTTTTCTGAATAATCTTCGGGTCGAGTAACAAATTTCTTTTTCTTCCTGGAATCACGACATATCCTACTGGCTGATTACTCTTAGTATTATTAGTAATCTAAGTAGTTTAATCTTAGTCTCCTAACTAAAGTGTCTTGAACATTAACTCTTTTTAGAACAATAACGCAAATCCTACGATTTTATCTAATGTTAGTGACTGTAGAACACTTCATGAGAGCCATATTCTTTCATGTTAAAAGGGCTTGCTTAAAATTCAAGTGATTTTGATGTATAACCATTGCAACACAAGAGAACTCCAGAAATGATTCCTATCAACCGAAAATAAATCTCAAATGGATTTTGATCTCCGTACCCTGAGCAGTGAGCACCGAACATGGCAGGGCTTTACGGTGGGTGAAGACATAGGAAGTGCTCATGACATGCCAAGATACAAGGCCATTCACGCGCCTATATAATGACCGCAGCGCGTCTTTCCGCTCATTCAGTTGCTCGCTCTTCATAGAGAAGGTTGTCTCGTCACTGCTTGGCATGCTTTCTTCCTGTGTTGCTTCGTAAGAAGAAAACTTGGGAAGAAACGCCGAGATCAGCTGTTGAGGCAAGAAATTGGCCCACTGAATATTCCTCTCCGAGATCAAATTCTGGATTACATCAAATGAATTGGACAGTTTGGATTTAATCGGAAATCGAGTTAATATCAAGCTTTTAACCTCAAGTACGGCCAAAAATCTAAATCAGAATATCGAGTCTGTTTATACACAAATTTTTCGGCTTAAAAATATACCCAATTAGTCGAAACTAATTGAATGCAAATTTAAGCTGAAGGATATCAAGAAAGTTAACTTTGGGTTATCATTGCTCGTATTTTCTGTAATTTGATCTAAAGTGAACGTCCAATCACTTGTGGGTAATCCATTTTTTGGAAGAAAGGATTGCAGTGGATCTTCATCTCAGCAGCAGACGACTGGACCGAGCGAGGAATCCAAAGCTTCGTGACAACAGCCAGGTTAGCGATCGAGAATTGATCCTGCATTAGCTATAATCTACTTGGTTCTTACGTATGTAGGGGCATCCAGTTGATCGTTTAAGACTAAATCCTGTATTAGTTATTATTTGCTTGGTTCTTTCCTATGTAGCAATAGCCAGATCAGTGTCCACGATTCTCGTATATGGACTTGACCATTCAGAGCGCATAGCCGCCCAACTTCCTGCATGGGCTGCCCTGATGTTTAAATAATTGAAACTTCTTCTGGTGCAACTTGACTCCATAGTAATTATCATCATGATTGTGATATTTTGATGAAATAAGACATTACCTTAACTAACGAATCATTTTATTTCCAAACAGTTAGTTAGCAGTTATTTTAGTGCCTATCATTGGCTTAATAAATAACATTCAGGTCATGATACTGTGCTAGAGAATCAATTTATATTGAGTGTTTCCTAATTCTGTGGTTGCGAGAGGTTCTTTAATCACGTTTTTAATACCATTCCAAACTTCGTTAGATTTTCCAGACGATGCTTGTATTTTCAAATTTTTAACTGGCGATAGAGCAGGTCTCCGAAAAGCTTTCATTTAAATATAGTGAATTTTCTTGACATTTGCTTTTGCATTAAATTATTATATATCGCATGTACTTTAATTTAGTCAGGATAATATCGAGAAACGACCAAGCTTCGATATGATTTGCAATTTGAGTGAAAGATTCTCTTTCAGTCCTCGGAACGAAAACGTATTTGTGGTTTCAGAAACGGCGATAAGTTTAATCTTAACTTTGCACTGACCGAAAATTTAACTTCAATAATATAATCTATTAACATACAACGCTGAGCGTTGGTAATTGAAGACACACTTGGAAGGCTCGAAATTTACATGTAAAAACTTTTATAGAGTACTTTACTAACTTTATTTACTGTATAAATTATTGTCACAGCACATTCAACTAACTGCTTTTCAAGTAGGTACATAGAAAACGAACTAAACGCCATTATCAAGAAGAACCTAAAATCAGAGCGATCTTCTTACGGCAGTTGCAATTACTGTATAACATGGCCCTGTGAGCTTATTTTTCTAATTCCGTTACGTGGATGTCAGGAAATGACTGCAAATTTTAAACACAGACTATTTTGAGGCTGTCATCTCAGTGCAACAACCTTGGAAGATGTCGGAGACCAGCGTTAGTTGTCCGTTGATTACTCGTGACAATTCAAGTCAAGACAAAATTTCAGATATACAAATTAGGAACAATTTGCAGAATTGATTGTCACTCCAGGTGACTTTCTCAAATGAGAGAACTTGCCAATAGACTTGCTGGGTGCTCTGACGTTTTACTGCAAGACAGTCATCCACATAACCTGACACTCCACTTCCTCAAAGCTCTGCGGGCAAATGAATTGACCGCAACTAAGCGCTCAGTTCAAGTTAGTATATAGTCCAAATGTGCAGCAGATCGTCTCACTACTACCTTATCATTTAACCATGCAAGTCCATGTATATTAAATTCTTGACATAAGCCTTTGCAGCAGCCAACTCTGTAAGCTGCTTTGTGCGTCAATATTGATTGCAAATATTTTCGAACTGTTGAAAGGATGAATTAAAGCAATATTACTGATATGCATCGAAAGTCTGTCCATTTGTTACACTTCCTGGAAGAATTGTCTCCTTCTCAACACATTCACCTTGCGATCGCTTCGTGCAAAGATGCCTCAATGCGTTGAACGGACGTCGCAGTTTCGCAGCGCCATGAACTTGCGCGAAGGTCGCGTGGCATGACTAGCTAAAACGCGGATTGCGGATGAGAGCGTTCTTGGTCACATCTGAGGTCATTAGGCCAGATCATGGTGGCCAAATAACGGAATCTTCTCGCCCGGCATGGCTGAGCATGAATCTTGGTTACGAAAACGAACAAATATTTCTGGTACGAACTGTGTAATTCTGTTAGTATTTGAAAATGTAGTGCTCATTAAGTGGATTATTTTGTAGTCATGTCTCGAAAAGTCTCTTATTACAAAGGCATTTGATGGATCGCTTGCAATTTGCAACTATGTTATAATAATTTTAAAAATTTTGACTCTTATTTTTTATTTCATGCCCGATTGGCGTCTTTTAACTACATTCACTAGTCCCGAGCTGAAAAATAACCGCTCTGAAGATATAAAATTAGAAACTTTAATCTCTGCAGTAACGTATTATATTCTTAATAAAAAATCCAAGTCGGCATTAATTCAGAAATTTACCGTCCTGGCAACAATGAACTTACACAAACAAATTCTTTCACGTAGTTTGCGTTTTACCTCGACGAGTCATAAGAATTCAGTAAGTTTTGTTCCATAAAAGTATATTCAAGGAAATATTTGAGCGGCTTTCTTTTTTGCCGGAGTTTATATTGTCTGAGTTCCGCGGTCGTTATCTCGGCGGCGCTCGAGAAGAATTCGATAATTGTTAGCCTTGATGCCAACCTTGCCGCAAATTGCTTCCGTTTTCATTTTCCCGCTAACTATTCGACTTAAATACTTTACATTAAGGAGAGGTTATTTGATGAACGGGATACGAATGAGACTACTGAACTGCCTCATGAATAAAAAGGCATTATAATTATTGCGGCCATATACGATGAGTTATAGCAAATCACCAAACATTCGCAGAGAAAATAAATTATTACCTGCCAGTGATGGTCGCTCTTTGAATGACGTTGCATGTTCCTTATTTACGAACTTGAATCAAATTTACCCTCAATGGAATAGCCAAGTTAGCTTCCCATCTGAATTTTGGCGTTGCTGCCATGAGACAACGATATGTAACAGATCCTTTAAGCGTATTTGAAGGCTCATATAACTATTGACATCAACGATCAAAACTACAGTAAACTTGCATCAATGACACGAGCTTTCTAAAATGAAATTAAGCATAAGATTAAATCTGTCAAATTTTTTGGTTTTCTTCATTTGCTGTTTTTTGCTGTACAACGACGGACCGATATGATTTGGCTGTTTGAGACCAGACAATTAATTGTGCCGAAAATCTTATGAGACCCTGACCGCAAAAAAAATTAAATTTAGGTAAAGTGCCAGTGTATCAATGTACATGTCATATATACATAAAATTTGTAAATTAATTGACTTGTGGGCGTCCACCATTTAAATGTCCCATTTTACAGGTTGCGCCCGGAGAGTATTTCATTTTTCACCAAACTCCGGACGAGAACTTGAGCTCCCGCCAGCAGAATGGAGCAGCTGCAGCAACGAGAACTCGATCAGCAGGTGCAACAGCACGACATAAAACTGCAGCAGCACCTGCAGCAACAGCAGCAAACCATGCAGCACGAAGATTTAGAGACAGCAGAACAGAAGCAGCCTAAAGAAACGTGGCACAGGAAGTAAGAAAAAAAGAACAAAGTATTTGCCTTGTTGCGTTATAATTGAATGGCGGAGGTTAAGGGGAGTGACAACAAAAGCATGTCAATGCGTGCGATCATGTTTATATTGCAAGGAGAGAAGAAGGACATTCGTGTAGAAATAATATTTCGTGTCAATTGTCGAAAGTGCTCACTATTATTACTTATTATATAGTGTTAGGAACTCGACGTGACTTAAATTACTTGAATTATTAATTGAAGTAAACTGCTTATTCGGTGCCGATATATAACCACGGCAGCGTGGCGTCTTAACTATGGATTAGTTTCCTAATTAAAAATGTATAACTAATAAAACTTAAACACACAAAATCTGAAATTATGATACTAGAAACATTTAAACTTACGGGTCATTAATTTTCATGCAAATTATAAGGGAGCCATTCAATAATTTTTCTGACAATTAGATAATTTTTTTAATTTAATAACATGAGTGAATGATATGCATTAATATTAATCATTTTTTTTCTCTACCCCAGCATCGAAAAAATTTCCAATTTGGGAAAATAAAAGGACACTAAAATTCCTGGACATCAGAGAACATTTAAAAAGAACTTCGCTAGACGCATGAAATGTTCATAAACCGTTTAATTTTGTATTGAATTCAAAATTTCCCCAATTTAAAACTGCATTATTGAAATTATGAATTATTCCATCTTCCTTAGTTCAATTTACTTAAACAAAATTGAATCGCTTTCCAGCCACATTGCATGAGTAATGAGTACCACAATCGTGTTTTCCCAACTCAAAAATTGACCATCTGCCGGATACTTACTGGCATACTCAACGCCGGATATTTGTTGACATCGCCTAACATTTAATGTTGTTGCAGAACTTCGGTGATGGAGATCTTCCGTACGTGCCTGAGCACAGGACATGACGACGATGAGTGCGACATTCCTGCGGACGAATCTGCGGAAGCGGAGGCAGCGTCTCGGCCGCACTTCCCTCAGACAAAGACAAGGAGTCGGTGCAACCTGTGGGGGCCGGTCTACCTCAACAGGGATAACTTCATTGAAATGCACCTCAGGTAGAAATTTAAAAGAAACAAACACGTTTCCTGGAACATGGTTAGTTATTAAATACTGATCGAACGAAATTTCGTTCTGTACCATAAATTACAACGAAGAATATAACTGGGAACTCATAGTAGTGAACATAGTAATGTAAACTTTCAACGAAGCCTGAAACTAAAAATTCGATGCTTAATACTGGAAAGCATCCCGTAATATAGCCGTGAAAACACCTCATTCGACGTTCAACGGTGCCATACAACCATCAATATACAACGGTGCCATACAACCATTCTGTTTCGAACAATACGAAACAGAACATTGGCCACATCATGTGGTTGATGCAAACAGCATTGGACCATCTAAGTTTGTCATAAGTTATTTATTTTTATCCATGAATATAAACGCCTTATCGAGGGCCGTTTCTCCTTCCTCGCCATGATATAAACATTAAAAATTTAATGCAATTTAATTGAGAATCTTGCTGAAAACATGGCGTTCTCCAACAATTATTGCACTATATACTCCTGTATACAACGCAAGTAGTTTGTGTAGTACGTCTGAAGTTGTGAGAATTCAATTTTTAGTTTTATATATAGTATAGCTACGAAAATTTATCTACGAATTTCCTTAGCTGGCATGGCCAGACGGAGATGTTTACATGTCGGACATATTCTGTCATTACGCAACCTTAATTAATTCAATTTAAAAAGATAGAATTAAACCCTGCAATGGATGGCTCTGTCTAAAGCTGGTGTAAAGGCTTGAAATAGGGGCTTCGCTTAAAATTTAAAATATTTGATGTACTCAGATTAGTACGAAAAATATAAATGAAAAATAGTCATCGTTATAAATAGAAAACAAGCATCGTTAAAATTATCTGTCTCATAATTAGCTCTAATGTCGCAAGTGGGTTTACAGAGATTCTCCTACTAAGCAAGCAACTGTGCCCGCCACTGCTACGTAAGCCCATATTTGAATTTGTGAATTCAAAACCGTTTGTTTTTTCCATCATTGTCAACGCCTTTACTTTCTAAGTCATTGATTTGCAATATTCACTGATTTAAAGATATGACAAAGGCTAATATAAGACTGAAAAGTAATTTAAAATTTCCTAAGAGCATTAATTTCCAATGCATCAGATGTATCTACCCCAATTATTAATTCGTGCAGTGATAAAAAAAATAGTACTGAAAAGAAAACGTACAGAAATTTTATAAATTCAATACTATTTTCTTGCTACCATAAACGTATGTTAAAAAGGTAATGAAGACCTAGGTATATACTGTAATAGATGACTATATTGTTGCGTGGTTTTATGATAGAGTTACCCCTCACTCCGCCATATTCTCTGGACTGACCAGCGTAACATTTAAGTCTTCTAGTCAGCGCTCGAGTGGCGTACGCATGTGACGCTAGCGCGCTAAAATCTGCCTTGTCATAGTCTCTATAAAATGTCTGCAGCGTCATTAAAATATTCCATAAAAATATTTTTCTAAATAACCTATCAGTCGTGGTTTTCAGAGTCTGTGCTTACGTTGTTACGCTATGATTAAGGATAACGTCGTTTTATAAGTAAAATTATTTTGCGATTGTTCGATTGTTGCCAAGCTCACTCATGTCAGAGTGCAGAGAATTCGTGTGAAGCCGCGTAGTCACACCATTTATCCCGAACTGTCAAACATTTATTTGTAGACTCAATCGAACGTGAATAGCAACAGATGAGCCTTATCTAATTTGAACCATTTTTTTTTAAATTAATGGAGAATAAACAGCATAAAATTAATATACAACAAGCTCACATATGTTTGAACTTATTAATCTCAAGGCGACAGTCATCAGCACTATCATATTACTCTCGAATAGCCGCTTTTTTCAAACAATTTTATCATCAATCAACGTCTGCAATATGTACACAATTTCTTTACAAATGAACACAGACTTTACGTTCGACATTCAAGCGATAAATTGCCCTTAACAATCGCACAATCGAAGCCACCAACCCGCAAAACGACCGTAACTCGTAATCGTACACAATCTGCGGCCGAGGCTATAATAAACGTTGTGAACACTACACTTTTGCCAGGCTGCCGCTTTCTTCCTGCTATTACAAGTTTCCAACCAAAAATAGGTACAACCACTGGCACAATCAAAGATTACGCGCAGGGCAGCAATTGACCTCAAAGAAAATCGTCAGCTCGAATCGTAAGTGCGATCGGATAATTTTTTTTCAATGTCACAGAGAAAATTTCAGATAAACATATTTCAGCAAGAAAAATCCAATAATTATTGCGAAAGTTTTATTTTAAATATACTGGTAAGAGTCAGGGATGACATTGAGTATGCCAAAATTAGAATTTATTGTGGTTTAACGTAGTAGGGGAAGCATGTACATGATGTATTTATTCTTGCATGTAAAAACCCAACACAGGCGCAATATCATAACCTGAAAAATGTTCATCAACGGTAAAAATTAGAATCACTAGTTACTTTTAATTGAATCAAATGTCGAATATGTAATCAATCACTCGATTGCTTAAATCGCAAATTCACCAGAAATTTAAAAACGTAGGAAACTTCCCAAAAATTTACCGTATTTCTGTACAAAACGTTTCGCAGTCCAGCTCCTCGTCAGTTCGAAAATGATAGAATGCAGATATAATTTCAATGGATGTTCTCCAGTTTTCATTTTTGCTTTAAAAATTTTTGCTCTTGTCATGATTACCACTTGCTCAACCCGTGATTCTGTAGTCGCGCATATATGGAGTTTTGCCAACGCCGGAGCAAGGCTGTGCGAAAATAATTAGATTACTTGCATATTTGTCAAGGCATTTGTGAATAAATATTCTGACGCATTCCGCAGAAGCTGGAATACCGCCACAATTTTTGTACGTTCAAGAAACACGTCAGGTGGACATTAAATTACCAGACGAGTGAGTTAAAAAATTGAATTCCATCAAATCACGGAGCTAACATATGCCAGCTTTGTTAGGGATCCAGTTGATGTCAAAATATATTTCCGCATTGAAGAAATTATTGTCACTATATTCCTTGCCCTTATACTCCATGTCCTTATTAAATGTTGTATTTACTGCAGGAATTCATTCACAATAGGTCTCTTCAACTGGCTTGCGATTTAAAGCAAATGGGTTAATGCAACACAAGCGGAGTTTTACGAATGGTGTTACGTGAACGCTGCTGAATGCATTGACCTTTTGAAGTCTCGGTTCAATTTTCAAAAGCAGGGAAAAAATTATTTGGAAAAAATTCTCTTTCCTTAGTTTACAAATCAGAACAGAATTCAGAAGACTTGCAATGACGGCTTCGGATTTTCACAGCGCTTCATCCAGTTTTAGAAATGGAGTTTCATATCAATTAATACTTCATGCAATGATACCAAATATTTGAACCGAGTTGCTAAACGTTAAGAACTTTTATCGACACCGTCAACGTGTGAGAACTAGTCTATATTGCAGCCTTTCGTTATTTTTGCAATGAATGGCAAATGTTCGACTTTAATGATCGGTCTTTGGTATAATATTGAACATTCATTGCACGAATCAATTCTTCTTTTAATTTTTATTTTCTGAATGCACAACGATTGATTTAACGTAAAAATATCCTAGATTTCACCCTTACTTACGGAACAGAGGGTTAATTAACTAAATCAGAAAGTTGATATTTTATTAGACTATATTTTTAAAATCTGAAATAAAGTGTAAAAGATTTTTATTCTCTGTAAACTCCAAATGTTCTAAATTTTATGACAAATGCAGTTACAAAAAAGTCCTAGTACATGGCCAGTCAAAACGAAAATGTCACACACAAAGGTCAACGATATTTCACTAATATCAGACCATATTTCAAAACTAATCAGAAACGATAAAAAGTAACTAAATATAATTATTTGGGCTGAGCCAGTGTTTCCACAAAAGGTCATCACGAGGGATTCAGTTTTCACGCTCTGCTGCAGGCGTCTGTCGCTACTGATCCGAGTCAATAATTCTTTTTAGATCTCCATGCCTGGCTGCTCAAACCAGAGCTTTTCTTGTGAACTTTTAACCTCGTCGTAAGAGTGAATGTTTCCAAAAAAATCAAATTATCATTCGTTTGAAAGGAACATTCAAATTGATTAAATAGCCCGGCTTCTAATGATGTGTATAGTGAACAATCTGCTAAATGTTAAACAAAACGCGGATTGCTGGATTAGGTAGGTAACCGTGCGATGCTGACCGATTCTTTGCCTTACTCTTGAGAAAAAAGTAGATTTTTGCGGGTACTACGCGTCCAATATGTTTGCTGCGGCGTTGCTAGTCGTGCAGCGTATTGATTATGAACGCTTTACATGCTCATATTGCGTAATGACTGTTGACGTCTTGCTCAACTGTTCCAAAAGTTGCGAGCCCGGGAACTGTACCGACCTTTGTATCCAGAGTACGTGCTCTCAAAAATACCATTCTGGGTCAAAATTCTAAACGTATCACTTGACCCAATAGGTCATCGCATCTTTAGCAGCTCACTTCGCTAACGATTTCTTATGCCCTTAAGTTCACTCCGATTGCCAAATGTTCCGAAAATGCGCGTGAACTACATTCGAAGGGGAGTTTCAGGGGGGGGGGAATTTATCGCATGTAAAGTACACTAGTTGCGTTGCAAACTAATATATATTTTACTATACACAGATCACGGAATAAGTACAGAATAAAAAAATGGATTGTTATATGCCGATATCGCGCTCCCAAAATGTGTTCTTAGATCTTAGGGTAAATTCTTATTGAAATTCAATGAGAAATTCGAATGAAAAATTGTTCATATTTACGTTCACATTGTCTAGGCTCCACTATATCAAAATTAAAGCCTATAAAGTTAGTAAGAAAATAACCAGGCTAACATTTTTCAGACCATAACAATTTGCCTAGAATAAAAGTGTTCCAGGAAAAAATTGTTCATAAACTCGTCTTTCAATAAATCGCATGTTGATATGGAAGCAGACTTTTAGCCATTGCGATAAAAATAATAATAAATGGATCGGCTAAACTAATCTGTCATGCTATATTATAACCAAACTCGTATTCGGATTCCATTTTAGAATTGTTTTTCCGTCCTGAAACAAGAATAAATCCATAATTTCTACAGCAACAAATCTGTTGTTGAATGAAATAAACATGCATATTTTGGGTTTCTTCTTATCAAATGATGTCTAGTTTCCGAAAGCAATTTTTAACCGGAGCAAAGTAAAAAACTTCGCACCTTTTCCAATATCTTATTTCTACGGAGGTTCCGAGAAAGTGACCCATACAGCCGACCTGCCTGATGGCGTTTAGCTGATCCGGCCGCTACAAGAGGGCGTTGCTCTGAGCTACGGAGATATGGTGAGAGACGCTATGTCGCTACAGTGAAGATTTGCATGCGGGGGAGCGTTGCAGCATCGTAAATCAAATCGAAATTTTAAGAGGTGGGTACAGCAGGCTATAAATTTCAGGGACGAATTTTGTGCAGGTTAAATTATTCATGTAATGTGAGTTGGGAACTTGTAAAAAGAGTTGTGATGAAGTATGAGAGATCACCATGTAATTTCATTTCCTTGCATCTTCAAAAACGGGTATTTTATTTATTATTCAACTGAAGTTTGACAAAAATTGATTGACTATTTTCAGAATATAGGTTCAGACGCAAATGACCTTCCGTTTTACATCACAGGTTGTGCACTTAAATCTCACATGTAAATAGTTTGCGAAATAATACTAAAAACATTTATTTTCTTATTGATTTATAAACGTATATACGTTTAACAAGTTCATCCTTATGTATATTTTTAGTTCGAGTAAGACGAACACAAACAACAGTCAGCATAAAATAATCATAAACAAAGCCTTCGTATTTACCAAAAAAGAAAAGAAAAGTCACATATGTGCAGCATATGTGACTTTTCTGGACTACACGCAAAACAAAGCCAAACGACAGATGACCGTTCGCTCCATGGGTCATGTTTTAACCTCGTGACTTGTGCATTTAAGCTCAAAACTGCCCACTTGAAACGATTCAAAGCGGATTGCTGTAGCATATCTCACTGAAACCTCCCCGTCGCGTGCCATGCGCAGAGGTCAAACACATTGATCTCCACCTCTCTGGTCATGACAAGGTCAAAAGAAGTTTTTCGCACGTTTTTATATTATCTTCTCTTCTATTTATTCTAATATTTGAGCCCATGACTCTCGTAATGTTGATCAATTATTGTGTTCTAACTGCTCGCTCTTGATAAGCTATTCTGTTCTTTTGAGAAAATATGGTGGTTCCTATATGCGAAAACGACATAAACTTGTAAAGAAATGGACGACCTAAAACAGAATGTTAGAGTATAGGACCATCAATAGACGTTTAGAACCGTCAATAGTTCTGAATTGGGAGAACAAAGTTATAAATTTTATGATTATGGTGGTCATGTGCATTAGTAACATTTCTTAATTTGTTTTTCTTTTAATT